GCTACTTCGAGTAATTTAATAAAAAAATATGCATGTAAATATATTTTTTTCTGCTTTTTTAACACTGGCATAGAGGTTTACTATATACATGTAATTTTATATAAAGTCTGAAAATTCGTATTCATATTTAGAACTTGTCAATTTAACACAAGAACTTCAAACTAAAAATCAGTACCACGTGATCAAATTTAAGGTAACCTTAGTTACGAGGTCATCAATCTTAAACCAGTCATTTTACGTTTTTTTTTTTCTGAAATAATGTACAACAATTTAAGTATTTTGCGCTATATTCACACGCAATCAAATACCGTGGTGGGGTTTTAAGTTTTCAAACATCTGTGTTAATTAATATGGTTGTTTTTGTTAGTATCGAATGTTGCGAAGGTTACCTTGGTGTTTCATCCGTGAGAGAGAAAATAAACAAACAAATAAACAAACTACATGTATCTATATACAAACTGAATAACCTTTCAATAGTTACTGTTACTATATCATCAAATGTATTTTCAGTAATTCATGGCGGTCAATGACAATTGTACAGTAACATGAGACAAGGAAGCCCTTAAAAGGACTGTTGTTGCCAAGCAAAGGGCCTGCTTTCAAGCCGTCATTCGTACTAAGGGCTCGCGCACCCTAGGACACCATTCTCGTCAACTCTGCCTACTTTGTAGGGCCACTCCCCTCGGTATTAGTCAGGACACCGGAAGTTGGTCTGCAGTTAAAGGCCTTTTTTCGCCGTTCTATGACTTCAAATCTTCTGCCGATGCCCTGTGCCTTCTCAGCGACGTGAACAATCGTTTATATACGGTCATATAACCTGTCAGAAATACTTATATCTATATATTTATAACCAATTTATAATACAGCAAGCGAAATCAGCGAGATTTTTTCATAAATCGACAGCAGCCGTGCATATAGTTTTCTTTTATAATACTGCACGTTTGTGGCGTCACTTTTCATTAGCCAATCGTGACGTTTATACAACTGCTGTCAATATATGAAAAAATGTAACCTTTTTCTCTGAAACAAAAGACGCTGCTCTGGTTATATTTACAAGCTGTCGTTTATATGGGGCCATATAATTTGTCAAAAATCTTTATAACTAATAAAAATAGAAGCGTTTCTCGCATCGTAGAGATTAAACACATGACAGAAATAAAAAAATCAAAGGGCTGCAGCTCTATGGTATTTTCTGATCTTTGCAATCTCAATCATACTGACTATCTGTATGTACTTTCCTGTATAAGTTTATTTTTATATACTTTAATTCATCTTACGCAGCGACAGCGTTTTGATTTTCTTCTATAACAGTTTGAGATTGATACATATGGAATTTTTCATGAAAAAAATAGAATTGCCTCGACTAGGATTTGAACCATAGGCCTCTCACACCCTCAACGAGACCGCTTACCTCTGCACCACGGCGAAGTTATACATATGTACCTTGAATAAAAATGAATACATTATGTAATTCTAAATTGAGAATTTCCATTTCGTGTTTGTAATCTTTATTAATTTCGAGGTATTTTGTTCACGATAAACCTTTTGTTTAACACTGATAAAAATAATTTAGCGAAAATTTTCTCGCCAAAACAGTCCGACATGTACTACTCGACAGTCAGATTTATTTGTGTACTACGCTCTGGAGTTTTCGGTAATCGACATAGCTAAAATAGCATTTTCATTGATTAAAATGATATTCATGATAATCCGAAGCTTTACGGAAATAGCCGAACATTTTTCATTGGGTAAAAAAGATATTCATCCGCAAAATTTGTGATTGTAACCTCATATTTCTATTGACTAATCTAAACTTTTAATGCACTGTAATTCGTTAAATGCCTACATTAAAAATTATTCTTTCTTTTAAATTGCTGGTTTTTAAGCAGTTTTGAGTGAGAACTACTTTGCGTTGTTAGGACTGTAAGGAAATTTTGTGTTAGACCGTGGATGTTAGCTATGTATTTACTGATCTTACAATCAGAAAATACAATAACCTAAAACAGTACACCTAACATTCTATTTACGCAGTAGAAAATGGGATATCTGTAGTTTTTATGTATCGACACGCAAACGTATAAAGTTATACATTCAAGCTATTTATGTAATTTGTTATTGTACTGAACGCAAACAAATTGCATAATGATACCAAAATAACTTTATTTATTCAAAACTTCCTTGTTAAACAAACATGATATTATATGAATATTGAAGTCAATCCTAATTAAAACTTGTCTAATTGATTTTATAATTTCTATAGCTTTATATATTGACTTACTAACTGCATATATATAATATAATTTTACAATCACAAGGAAACAAGCTGGAGCATTGGCTGTTTTAGATACAAATACTACCAAGAAAATGAATAACATTTTTCTAGAGTAAAAGCAAATTTGATTGATCGTCCGAACATGTATTTATTGAAAATAAAAGTTGACCTAAATCAATAAAAATATCAAAAAACAGGGGAGTGCGAGTGATTAATATTATCAGTCCTACATATATCAAAATTTAATAAACATTTGAATGATAAACTTTTGTAAAATTAAAAGGAATATATTATATACGTTATTGCATAGACTGAGTTCTACAGCAAAATAAATTTCTAAAAAATAAATCACTCGTTTTTTTTCCTTACAAAGGGGAATAAATCTTACTGAATTATAAAATGTTCATACAAAAATTATTTGCCCTTTATATAAACATCCGAATGAACGAATTTTTTATTCAATAACTTTTTTTATTTTCCCTGCTAGTTTAATATAATTAGAGACGCCAGTTTAACAGTATTTCAGCCGTTAAGATTAAATGCGCAAATGTGATTATGATGTACGGAAATCAAAAACGATATAAGAATTTATATATTGTGAAATATCATGTAGTATGTTAAAGTTCCAATAAGAATTATTTATAAAGATATTACACAATTTAACATTTCATGTAAATAAAGGAAAATAATTAGAAATTTATTTTTCATAAATTCTAAGTCAAATTTTTCAATAAGAAATGAATGCATGTAATTTATTGATTAAATATAATATGCACAAATATTTGCAGTACACATTTTACATATTCTTCGATGTCATTTTACATATTCTTCGATGTTTGAAAATTGTTTTATTTGCATAATTATATATACATATAAAAAAAAGTTGAACCCCAACCCCAGCCCACCTCAGAGCGGGGACATAAAAAGTCGATATTTTATCTTCAAGTCAATAAATGTGAATATCCAAAATATTTAGCAAAGTCACTGTGTATTGACACAGTAGTCATCTTACTGGTAAAACAAATTTATTGCTGATTTACGATGATGACGATGATGATCTATCATTGATGATAACGATGTTGTTGATGATGATGTATTATTAACGTTGATGAAGATAGGACAAGACGACGATGATAATGTAATTTGCTTTGTAAAATGTGTGACATATACGGTCAGGCATTTACGCAGAAACGTATATGGCACCAGGGTATTTCAAATAGAAACAGAGACAACTGGAGACAGACCAATTTTACGAAAAATGTTGTCTCGGTTGAGTCACGTGCTATATGGCATAGCACATCACCATTCAAAAATCAAATTATAAGATAATGTTTTATTAAAATCAATCAAAAAACTACTAAAAACTAACTCTGACTACATAATATTATCAGTTTTTACTTAAAAAGTAACAATTTTATAGATCTGCAATGAAATTAGAAATTTTTCGTTCCCGGTGTCAAGGTAAAAATTTCTGCTCATATTTGAAAATAGGTCCGAGTTTCATGAGCTTTTTTTAAATTTATGCATTGTTCAATGACAAAATAGAAATTTATTTTACAGAGAAAAGATGTTATTAAATCGTATCATGTAAAAATATTATAATATTTCACGATGTTATTTGCAAATATTTGATGTTTAATTTGGTGCATTTTCAAAATGGCGCCGATTATCGGCAAATATTCTGATCAAACAATCTATGTTGTTTTTTTTTTTAACAAAGATGGCTTTAAAAACATCATTTCCTGAAATATTTATCCTTTTTTTCAAAAGTTTTAAGTTTTTTTAATAACATCATGTCGTTAAAATTTTCGTTTTTGCTCTTGTATTTAATATTCGCCCTTTTCTTGAACACTTACATAATTTGCTTATAGCAAACTATACCGATTTATACAGAGACATGTTTAATTGTAGCGAGAAGGGTTTACATAGTGTGTTTCCAGACCATTCTATTTGAAAGACCCTGATGGCACATATAATTATAAAGACAACTGTGATTAATGCGGCCGAATATGTCCCACAGTATTCAACCTTATAAAATCAAACTTGTACAGTATAATGTATAAAATTATAATATCAACAATATCATCTTATCTAATTATTTTATTTTTAAAGATAAAAAACAGTACATAGTTTTGAAAATAAAATCTCCATTTCGCAAAAATCCATCGGCGCAACCGAATTTATGAAAGGTATAACAACAATCAGGGTCTTTCAAATAGAATTCTATTTGAAAGACCCTGCAACAATACAATGAATGTTTATAATAAAAAAATACTTGAAGTTGATTCTGTAATTTCAACATATGACTTTATCAAAGATATACATTCTATATTAAACTCCATGACTTTATTTAGCATATACCAATGCAAATTCAATAAAAAGTTCTTTGTTTGCTAGTTTTGAAAAAAAAAATCTCCGTTGAGCCGATAAATTTTTGCGCACTGGAGATATGAGCGGTATTACAACAATTACAATGCTTATAATGTAGAAAATGTTGTTTTTAGATGATTTCTATAAAAATATTATTTTATTCAACACATACTAATTTAAATTTAAAAAAATGCATTGCTAATCGCATTTTATTGCCACATTTTAAATTTTGCACTCCGTTGCGCCAAAAAATCTCCTTTGCTTATTTAAGTGGTACCAGAGGCGAAACGTTCATTTCGCGAAATAGCGTCCATTTCGTTCCCATCTCCAAGCGCTTAGTATGGTAGACGATTTTCATTTGCGTAGAAGCGGAAGTCACGGTAGATAAACAGTATGGCGGCTAACAGAAACTTTTGAACTGGCAGAATTGAAACTTTCCATGTTTTCACAAGTATTTGGCTGAAATATACAAAGTTGGCCGAGAAATAAAAAGTATGTTTCATAAACTGTTATATTTAAACTGTATCATCAATTTAATTGACGCAAATTTGGAGAAAATCCTAATTTGATTTATCAGATATGCACAGAATCCAGTCTGGACCTGTCTCCCAGAAATGTCAGTGATCAAATTTGTGTGATACTCTTGAAGATCATCGTTACTCGTATCTTAACTAAATACTTTCGCTTTATTTAAGCCTGAATGCAATGTGATGCTTCCTTTCAGAGTTAAAGGACATGCCAAGATGAAAGTTGCCTACAAAAATCTTTGGACAGTTTCAGTTTGTCTTGCAAGCAGTCAATTTGTTCTTAAAATTGTTTATGAATTCTTTAAAAGGGAATCTTTGAAATATTTAAATTAATGAGTTACAGTTATTCTTAAGCTGGAAAGTTGCAACATGTTCTGTTATCAGAATACATTGGCCTTGTGATTATCAATGAGTTACATTAAAGGAAATGGCTAGCCGTACGGGCCTGTACGGCTAGCCAAAAGTTCTAGCCATACGTGAGTCACGTACGACTAGCCAGGACTCGCTGTATTGTCTAGCCGTACGGCACTTTTCAAAATTATATAGAAGTCGACCATGCATATGTTATTTTGTGCCTCATGATTATGATTTGTTGTTTTATTTGACCTAAAGATGTTTTTTTGTTAATTAAGCACATGGATCGAATAAATAATGATCGGAGTGAAATAAATACATAGAACATTGAAAAAAAAAACGGTGAAAAGCAAAAATAATTGTATAATTTTCAAATACAGTAGATAAATATCGAACATAAAAGCAAAAACAATTAATAAGCCTTAAATAAAGCCTACCCAGGGACTGACAATAGAAATTTTAAAATGCGTTTCACGGAACATGCAAACTTTCCTTAATGATGGACAAACTTCTATACCGTCGGTAATTGACGCAAATATCAGAGCCTAACATGCATTGATTATTATTTTTTTTCATTTTAAAGGTGTCGAAAATTAAACTTTATGAAACAAAAAAGGATTATTATCAAAATTTTGTAAACTATTTCAATTGATGTTATTTAACTGCGACCTAATGCTATTTTTTCTCGATGTCTTGAAATGATAAAGATCAATATTCGTACTTCTTTTACTGTAGCCAACAAGGCGATTAATCTATATTTAAAGTAAATATACGAAGACAATTACTATTTCATGGTTAAAATCCTCGCTTAAAGTCATGAAAAAACATATATGTATAATTTCGACTTCTATATAAATTTGAAAAGTGCCGTACGGCTAGACAATACAGTGTGTCCTGGCTAGTCGTACGTGACTCACGTACGGCTAGAACTTTTGGCTAGCCGTACGGGCCCGTACGGCTAGCCACTTCCTACATTAAAATAGTGGCGACCAACTAAAAATGACACTATAAATTCCAATGATAGGTTAAGATTTCTACATATTTTTGATTGTTTTTTTTATATTTTTTATTTGATTTCCTTTTAAATATACACATGTAGTCAATATTTGGACAAGCCAAAGTCCGGGCTTGCTTCGCCATAATAACCCCCATAATAACATCATTTAGTTACATGATAATAATGATATCAGATGATCTGTGGTAACAGAAATAAACCATTTAGCTCCAAAGCTTATTTCAAGTCCTATATATCAGAACAGAATCAAGCCTAAACCCGGAGAAGCACTCATTGTAAAAATATCTTCAAAAAATAATTAAGTATTTATACCATTTAATTTAGCTAAAGTTTAAAGAATAAGACAGTAAGAAATTGTAACTGAACAGATAATGCACTAAAATTCCAACTTAACATGTACAGACTGAAACATCATAGTAAGTTTACATTAGAAGATGTTTGAATGAAAATCAGCTAAAAAACATAATAATAAATAAAACTATTCTTTCAGTTTCAGAAAAATGAATTCAGATGATGAAACCCGAGAAAGAGATGCAGGGTTAAGAGACGAGTCTGGACAGAGTGAAGATATACTAAGATATCAAGATGGTTCCTACAACTTCACATATGGAAAGGTAACTCCAGTCATACCTAATATCAGTCATGTAGCACAGTAATTAAGACTATAGTATGAGCTTGATAATACAATTGCATCTTCAAGGATGCTGTTATACAGATTTGAATCTTACTAATAGAGTTTTATCACTTGTATTTGCTTTAATTTATACAAATTTATTTTAGATTGATTGTGTTGGAAGCTGTAAGCTTATTGAAACATTCTCAAATCTTTCCTGGAACCAACCAGTACTAAGTAATAAAATTTAATGTAAAGTTTCTTGCTCAAGAAAACAAGTCAGCTATCCTTAGATTTCTAGTCTGACACAGTAAGCTCTTGGCCATACTGCCTCCACTTGTATTTGATTTCTGAGAAAATACCAGTTATGAATTTGTGCTGAAAATCATGAAATAATTTATCTAGTTAATATAATTTGTATTCATTTGTACAGGGTGTCAAACCAGATATGTCATTCTCTCTGGATAACTCTAGAGATTGGAAACTAGCACCAATGTCACCAGGGCCTGAAGATGCTGGCAGACAACGAATTGAAAATAACCAGTTAAAACTTCAACTCAAACAAGTTATAGCAGATTTACAAACTGAACAAGGTAAGGTTGTCCCCTGCTTTTGTTTGTTTTTGATAAAAAAAAATATTTTATTCTAATCAGATACTAATTGATTGATAATTAAGATGCTAGACTTTCTTAGGTAGTTTGACAGATAAATTCATTTGATATTGTTATTTCACAACTTGTATAGTAAGTTAACAGAAAGATGTTTTGAAGTAAAAATTGAGTATTCATCGTTTTATATTGATTTTTTTTGTAACAGATACAGTATCAAACCTACGTAAAAGATTAAATTCAATAGAGAGAGATAGGTTAGAGGCTGCAACCAAAGCAAACAAAGAGGTACTTGTATTTCCTGAACTTTAGGTGACAATGTCAATTAAAGATATCAGGCACTGTTGGAATGTCCACAAATATTTATTTAAGTGTTAGCTTTGGTGCCAGAAAAGTTTCAAGCTCTAAACTCTGTGTCTCTCATCATTAGCGACATGAAATAATAGAATCAAAATCTAAATACATGCATATATGAGAAAATTTATTTTGTGATTCACATAAAAGCAGTGTGTAGTCATAGTTTTGCAAAAAATCATTTTAATGAAACAAAAAGTAATAGAAACCTTAGATTGCCATAAATCATGGCAATGATTTAATAAATTATGTAATGTTTGTTAATAGTGTATTTTAATGAATTGAAATACATGCATACAAATTTTGGTCCTTTTTCGTATTAGATATGTTATATATGCATGATGTATATGCAGTGTGTATATGTCTATAATAACTCTGGGTCTGTTGAATTAGTGTAATGGATTTTGCTCTGCTTTGAATATGCATCAGTCCATGAAATGTTTAAGGGCCTCACCCTGGCAATTTGTTAAGTATTTCAACGTATTTTGCTGCTTCATGACTGACATGGTGTAGAATTTTATAACACATCATAAACTGAAAATTTGATAATTTGTTAAGTCTTAACTTTTGAGAAATATTTTTCAACACTTATCAACCCTTTTATCAATGGCTTTAAGTTTAAAAGGCTATTCTTTTAATGCTAGGTATCAGAGTTAGAAAGTCAGATAGCAAAATTACGAGCATCCCTGGAGAAGGGGGAGGCATCCCGTGCCAATGTAGAGTTCGAACTGGCTCGAACAAAGCGGGATTTAGCACAGCAAAAACATTCTGCAGCAAGTCATGAAAAATCTTTGGATGAAGCAAACAAAGAACTGAAAAGTAAGTGTAGCAAATGGCTTATTTTTAAAGAATTTCCAGATTGACTGAAAGTAGGAATTTTAAACACAAATGTTTAATGGAAATCAATGACAATTTTTTTTTCTTACATAGAATAAGTTAAAAACAAAGGTAACTGTGACCTAGTGGTTAAGATGTCTGCCTCTCAACTCCGGGATCATGGGTTCGAGTCCTAATCAGGTCACAACCAAGTTTCTTCATATGACACCAGTACTGGGTGGTTCCAGGAAGCGGACTTGAAAGTAATAAATATAAGTTGTAAGAACTTGTTTTGCAATCAAGTCTAAATAAATATGTTTTAACTAAATTAAAAACATAATTCAAAAGTAAGAATAAGATTTGTCACACTTATGTATATATAAGCTAGACCTGAAAACTCAAGGGTAGATAACACAAGTCAATGATTTAACTCTCAACGGCTAGGGTAACTTCAAAGAACAATTCTCCCAAGATTAATTCTAGTATTTAATTTTGTGGGTTTTCCCTTATTTCTATTTATAGAAAAGTTGGCAGATTATGAAGATGAATTAAAGCGACTGGAAGACAATCTGCAACAATCTCGAGATCATTCAGATGAGAGGGAAAAACAATTCAGACATGAACTTGAAGCTAAGGTTAGTTACATTAAGTGACTATAAATTATGAGTGTGTATAACGTTTAAATTCTAAACTTGACATTTTTGTATCATATTTCCAACTTTCACAATATAAGTTTCAAACACATTAATTTGATAATATTTTTTCTTTGTTTGCTCAGTGATATCAATATTTATTAAAAAAAATGTGAAAGAAAAAGTTATGAACATTTTAAACAGAGGTAGCCTTTAACTTCTCAAACTTTTATATGCATGAAAGCATTGTGAATTAAAAAATTTGAAATATTTGTACAGAAAAGTTATGTTAATTCTTTCAGGATGCTCAATTATCAAAGAATATGACAGATCATGAGGTTCTTGAATCAGAGAAACATAAATTAGACAGTGTTGTACATCAGCATGAAAGGTTTGTTATGTTACTGTTTTACTTTACTGATTTATTAACCCTTGACCTGCTATATTTTTATAATGGATCTGTCCAACTCTGAATTTGAAACAGTCCATGGGATTTTAATATCAAAAAACAAAATTGAGCTGCCAACAGTATAGAGCCTGGTTAGACTGCGCGGATGTTTTTTTGTTTTTTTTTGAGGATCATGCAAGTATTGGTAAAAGAATTCTTGAATACTTTTTTATTAAGTTATATTAACAATGACGTAAGTACTGGCACAAAATACAGATTTATTCCTAATCAATAGATAACAAAATGTAACAGTTTGGTTGAATTTTATTCAAATTTTATATATATAAGTAGGTTAAACAGTCATATGATATTAGGTTTGTTCTTGATATATTCATGCGAAAACCTGTTGGCAGTAAAATGTCTTTCATTTTGACCAACATTTTGACCAACATTTCATGATAAACTATGTATACATATATTTATAAAGGAATGCATTTATAGTTATAATTTTTTCTTCTGTGTAACATTTTTGTGACATTTTGACAGTGTAAAGTTATAGACAAGTGTCTTTTCTTGTTTATTTCAGTGTCATATCCGAGTTGAATGAAAGACTTCAGGATTTAGAAAGTGAGTTAAAATTTTGCTGGCTGAGAAATTTATTCTATTAAATATAATCTATGATTTAAATTTTCTTTTTCTAAAATTGCAATGTTGTCACTTTGTTGTGTCTATGTTCTTTAACTAATAATGTTTGCACAAAAAGACCTTAAAAAGTTTCTTTTATTCAACTTTTATTCAGGTACATAACTTTTGGACTTACGGGTTTTAAACAAAAAAAATTTAAATTAAGGGTAGGAAGGTAGGGAAAAACCTCAAGTTTTTTTAAAAGGGAGGCACAATTAAGGCTAACAAACCTTTTTTTTTTCCTATGTAACTTTTTTTTTACAAAACCCTTTAAAAAAAAATTATAAATGTAAAAAATTTTTAAATTTTAATCATGTAAAGAAAAATTCTTTTTGAAATCATTTTTTTAAAGCCTACTTTTTAAAAGGCAATGATAAACATTAGGCATGAGAGTCTTAAAGGAATCTGCCCCCCCCCAACCACTTTTTGTAAAAATGTTTTTTCTCTTGTTTTTTTAGATGGTAAAAAAGCAACAAGTAAAAGGAACCTGCGTTTTAGAACAGCCACGAGTTAGAGTACTGTAAAGAAAGGGAGGAAAGGGCAAGGAAAGATCTAGAGGTAGTTAATTATATATCATCAAAAACATAGCACCATTCTATAACCAATTTGTACATGTATAACACATTAAGCAAAACATACAAATATCGCAAATAACTTCATACACTTGATTTTGATATTAAGCACCTAGCACCTGTATCAAGAAATGTTTACTGTACAAAAATACACCGATAAAAAAAGAATTTACATAATTAGCTTGAAGTGGTCGAATCAGCAATTTAAAATCACAGTAAGGTCCTATGTCTCGGTAGCTGACCACCGGTATTTCAATGCTATTAAAATATGTAATTTATAGAAAACCCCAATATTCTAACTTAGTGCATATATCTTTTAACTTTATATCCAGTATGAAATGTATTATTTCTCTGATATAATATTTCAGTCAGCGTTACAGCGTGCACGTTCCACGGAGGAGAGTATAGAACTAGAGAGGGCAGCTCATTTAGAGACAAAGTTTAACTCGGAAATTGTTCAGGTATTATACATGAACTTGTTCTGTTTCCATCATTTTCATTATATTAATCACATTGCTTGGAATGTTTTTACTTTTCAGAATTTGATGTTAAACCTAGAAAGCAATGTTACAAATTTAACTCTGCTTAAATGTTAAGTTTAAGAAAGATTCTGCTACATTGGGAGATGTGTCTGTGATTTTTTGAAAAATAAAACCTTATATATATATTATTGTAAATTTATTTTGAAATATTAAGAAAAAATATCCCCAATGCTTTCATATTATCTCAATTTAACCTGTACTCCCTCCTTGTCTTAACCTGCACTTTGTTGTTCAAGACTCAATGAAATAATGTTATAGTGTGTGTTTTTTTAACATTTCCATTGTATTATAGTTGAGGGTGCGTGACCTAGAGGGAGCTTTAGATGTGGAGAAATCTGCAAACAATGAGGCAAATAAAGCTATAGACAGACTAACAAAACAAATCAAGTAAGCTTTTAACTATGTATAACTTGTTCAAGACTTAAGAGTCATTAAGAGTCGTTTTTTTCTGATGTTCTTTTTAACAAGCACTTTCATCAATTGATATTCTCTGCAAGAAATTTCTTCATTGTTATGTGTGATAAAATTTAAATTGTCATTGCATCCAAAGGGCCTCCATGCTTGAGTGGTTTATGTTACTTGCTCTTCTCTCCTGTTGAATTGAATCCTGAAGCTATCCAGCAAGCCTACAGAAGGCTGGTGGTTCTACTCAAAGGTCTTTCTCCACCAGTATGGCTTAAAAGTCACCATATTACAATTTAAGTGTCTGTTTATGACTTAAACTTAACAAATCAAACCATTTCATTCTATGTATTCAACGTTATTCAGTGCACTGTGCTTAAACATTTTTTTACCTTAACAAGAATTTCCTAAATAGAAATAGTGACTTATTGGTCATCCTAGAACCTAGAAAAGTAGAAAATAAAGCTTGGCCCAAATGCTTTTCAGATACAAATTATCCAGTGTTGTCATAATAAGGTACAATAAGTAAAGTTGCATATAATATAACGTAGGAGCAGTAGTCCAGTGGTAGGACGTGCACTTAGGGATCAAGAGGCCCCGGGTTCGAACCCCACCAGGGGCACTGCTAATTTCCTTGAGCAAGAAATTTACCTGCGATTGCTTCACTTCACCCAGGTGTAAATGGGTACCTGCGAGGGTGGTATAATTCCGTTGCGCCAAGTGTCGGCTGCACTAAGCGGAGTTAAAAGACTCCCCAGGGAGATTGATAGATAGATACCAGTAGCCCGATGACCAGGGGTAATAGCTGTAAAGTCGGTGAACATGTGTAAGCATGAAACTTAGACTATAAAATGCAATTACTTTATATAATATAATGAAAACTTATATCTATCTACAGGGAACTAGAGACATCTTATGAAGATGAAAGGAAGACAAATAAGCAGCTGAGTGATAAATTAGGAAGGTATGTTAATATGTTCAAAATCTTTAACAATTTATGTTGTTTACATATTTTCTTTATCTTTGGTTGTTAGGTTTTTGTAACTGAAAGATACTTTATAGTAAGTGTTTATTTAACCTTGATTTTGAAGAAAGTTTGTATCATATTTGAACCTTTTTTTAATTCATATTCCTAGAACTGACCAGTACATGTTTCATAATTATGAGAAAACCTTGTAGTGACACTAGTAGGGTTTGAAACCACAATGCCTTGTTTAGGAAATACTGATCAAGTATATTTTGAATAATAACCATATTAAATAACAACATACCGGTTACCATTTTGGTTACCTGGTATTTGAATGAAGTTAATCACACTAGTTATTCAATATGTTTATCTGAAAGAAAATGTATAATACTGATAAATATTATAATGGCTGTGCAAAAAAAAAAGAGTATCTGTCAGATGTTCATAGTTTGATTGCCTTTGACATTTATAGGGGTTAAAAAACAGGGGATTAATTTCTTATAGCATAGGAAGAGAGATATTGTGTACAATTGTTTTATATAATAAACTGGGACTTTATTGTATATATTGTGTTCTTTTGATTAGATTGGAGAAGGAACATAGTTCTGTAAAGAAACAGCTTACAAATGAGGTGGAGAACAAGAAATCAACAATCGGAACTTTGTCGAAAGAGCTAGAAGTTCATCAGAAAAATTTCCTGGAGCTAAAAGAAGAATTATCTAAGGTTTGATATAATTTTTTAAAGCTCATGTGTTTCAAAGAAAAGTCGAGCAATTATGATCACTGTATTGTCGTCATGCAAAAACTTGAATGTCACCCATTATTCAAATATTTCAATGTTAATAGCATGAAACTTTAAATACCTGCTTATTTCGACAAGGTGCAGTTGTTAGACAAGTGGAATAATTCTGAAAACTATATTTTTGTTATGCCACTTTCACCACAGAATTTATGTCAGAAGTAGTTATTTTAATAGACGTGCGTTAACACTGCATGCAGTGCTCTTGTTGTTATTTTGAATGAATTAATATCATTGTAAACACTTGAAATGCATAAAATAGAATTTATTCTATAATATTCTATTATTTTATGTAAAAATTTCATTTCTAACACTTTCATTTAGGTATTATCTCTGGGATTTCACCAAAGTATACATAAAAAGAAAGGATTAGTTTTTGGTCATGTATTATACTAGAAAAATTTTTTTAGTATTTGGTGAAATGTTAGAAAATGGATTTTTTTGTGTAATTTTTTCAAGAAGGGAATATTTACTAGTGATGTGCACAGAAAGGAATATAATTTTTGGTGATGTGTATGAGAAAAAGTATCTGTGTCATACATGTAAACCCTTTCATCAACCTACATTGATAATGTTGGGTACACTTTAATTTGTTTAATGTATTATAGGCCAGGAAGCGTCAGATTTATCTTGAAGAGACATATGGTGGCAGTATGAGGGAACTAGAACTGTTGTTACAAAACTTTCAGATATCTTCAGATAACAGTAAACAAAAGAAATCTACCCAACAAAGTAAATGTCTCAATTGTTTAAAACTTTATATAGAAATTTAACACTACTTGAGTTTTAAGTTAAAATTGTTGTTAATATTCTATCTTGTATGTGAAATCCTTTCATATTTCTTTTTTTATATTTATTTTCTATATTCTTAAGAGGATATTTTTTCACTTGAGTGTAATATGGAATATATTTTCACGAAATATTGAATTTTATCAGTAAAAATATGTTCCATATATCATGAAAACGAAAAAAAACCTTTTTATTTAATTTTATCATCGAGAAAAAAGAATAAAAGTTATTCATGCAAACCTTTGCTAATTGTTCAGAGCGCAGTAATATTTAGATTATTTATCAGTGAGTGATGGGTTCAATACTCACTTTAATGCCGTCATGTTACATTGTGTTGAAAAAACATGACAGAATTATTATATTTGACTGATATAGCACCATATTTCATAGGTAAAATTAAATTATGTATGATATTTAATATATGTGAATGTATTACAGAAGGAAAGGAAAGTAAAGGGAACAAAACACCAGCACCATCTGTAGTTTTAGAGAATTTACGACTTACACTTGCTGACTACAGGAAACGTCTGGATAATACATCCGAGGAGGTGAGGAATCTTTGACTATTTAAACATAAACTTCACTATATTTCTTTATTAAACTTTCACTGATATGAATTTAGGCACATGTATGTGAAGGAATTTGTCTTTTAATGTCTACACACGAATGAGTTGACAAGTCTGGCATAATGGCATTAGGGGCATAGGTAAACCACTATCTGTATTTACATTCAGGGAGGTAAATAACTATAATAGCAACAGGCAGACTAAAATGCTGCATGTTGAGTTTGAAAAGTTTACTTGTTACAATTTACTTGGTGTCTTGTGTGAATATATTTAAACTTTTAGTCTTTGGATTTCTTATACAAATGCAGAAAATTGTAATGAGCTAGATGTTATAAACAGTTGCTTCCCTTTAACTGTTAAAGATATCTAAAGCCCACAAGTAATTTTGGATTCTTACATTTTGGGAAGCTATTCAGGTAGCTTACAGTAATGCCAAATGTGGTGGTTTTATCAAGTGTTGTTTATGCCTGAAATGATAAACAAAGATGTGGGTATCTAAGGTCTTTCTTCACCTGTAAAACTTGGCTGTCAACAATTGGATAGTCAATAAATAACCTATATTGAACAGTCAGCATGCAACTTGTATTGGACAGTCAACATTTAATCTTTATTGCAAAGTCAACATTTAACCTTTAATGGAAGTCAACTTTTTACCTTTAATGGACAGTCAGCATATAATGCTGGTATGACTTAAGAGGGAAACCAAACTAGAAGAGAATAACAACTTTTATTCCAGACCTATCCAAAAATTGAATAATTATTTATTTCTAATACAATTTTGCATCTTATTAAAGCTCAATAAAATGAAGAAGTCTAGTACAGGATTAACAAAGGAAATAGAGCAGTGTAAAGAGATGATCTGGGCTAAAGACAAGGCACTAGAGGATGCTCAGAGAAGCTATACACGCACAGCAAAGGAACTAAACCGTGTGAGGTCCGAGTATGGTGAACTTGAAACATTACTTACTCGTCTCAAAGTAGACATGCAGAGTACAGCAACCAATCAAAGCAAAGATAGGACCCGCATTCAAGAGCTGTCTGAAGAGGTTTGCGATAGATTGTTGTTTAATCATGTTCATTTTTTTATAACTCCAAGGGAAAAAGAAAAAAAAATGTGTTGAATAGTGTCCATTTGCCTTAATTTGGAAATAAATAATGTTAAGTTTTATGACAAATCAGAACACATGTTCAGAGTAAGTACAGTGATTGGTACATGTATTCACAAGGTGATGAAGTTACAGAGATTGTTGATATTTTTACATTCCAAATGATATTATATCCTTATATCCTTAAAATTTAATTTGGCAGAGAACTGGAATTATACATGAAATTGAACACATGTCTGTATTTCCATTGAAACATTCACAATGTTAATTAATATGTCATTTGATTTATTTTCAGAGTAGAGTAATTTGTCAGGAAGACATCTAGCAAATTGTTATTTTAATCAGTAAATATTTATTGTTCTCTTCTCACAGATTATGAAGTTGGTAAAGAAACATAAGAATGATGAGGAGGTTGGTATATAAAATTTGTATTACTATATTGGTATTGCTCTTAAATCCTTGTTCATTAGCTTTGAATTTTAAAGTCTGAAATGAAATTTAGAATTCAAGTTTCTGAGTAATTTTTGCTGCTATTTGTTTCATTGAAAATAAGGTTTCCAGCTGAGTTAGTCATAGCTGCATATTATATGTTGTCAGAAAGTTTCAATGCAATCTCAACATTTTTGTTAGAAGAAAGTGACTTGTCGCTTTTTTATGATTAATTAACATTAAAAATTTATGCTTAGACTTAAAGCAAAAATAAATGTAAACTTTCCTCATTAAGTCCCATATGTATTAAAGACTGAAGGTTTACAATCAAACAAATATCTCAGACAGTGCAGCATTCAGAGAATTTGGCAGATAAATTGCTTTTACTTATAATCATGAACAGTCATAGACCTTAATTGAAAATATTCACACAAAAATTTCCCCAAATTTCAGGAGAAGCTGGCATTTTTACATGGTTTATACCAGAGATTATTATCTGGTAAGATTGTGGTAGCCAGTAAAGAGAAGACGTTCAACCAGTTTTCCTGGCATGATCTCACTAACATGGTGTACGATCAAGTAGCGACACTTCTCAATAATCTACAAAATGCTGAAGAAAAGGTATAGTTTATTATGTTATTAAAATTTATAACGCATACAAATCCAGAGCTTTTTTTCTTTGTATATCAGAGGTGGTTTAAGGATGGCTTCCTCAAAATTTTTTTTTTACAAATCATGTAGTTTTCCCCAAGAATTTAATTGACAGCAATTTTTTTCTTCCCCATTTACAAAAGTATCATATTATTTTTCCCCAAAATAAGGGGAAAGGCTGCTTTTGCAGTCTGTGAAGAAAAAAGCCCTGAAATCAGAATAAGAACTACAACTAGGTGCATAAGTTTTCAAATCAGTCTACAGATTTCAGTTATGTTATAAAAGGGCGAAAAATATACTACTTGTATTTCTGTTCGTTTCTTTTATTTTGATTTGATTAATTTGAAAATCAACAGTATCAATTATTTACTGTGTATAAGCAAGTTTAAACATGAAATTCTTTTAGATTGTTGTCAAACAAAGTTGAACGGAAAATTGCTTATTAGATAACAATTAATATTTTGAATGTTTGTTTACTTGCAAGCTGATTTATTCAATCGATATTTTAATTTTAAAGATTTACAGGAATGGTTTTGTGGTCAGTAAAACTAGCATTGTTTTGTGTTGCACAACAACTGCTTGGTTAGGCAGCATTTAAAGATGTTTGTTTGTAGTTATACAAATCTTATATTTAAATAGTTTGAAACACTGTTGTCACTTACTTTTGAAAGATAGATTTTTTTTACTTCTTTCCATACAAAAACCATATTTTTAACTTTGTAAAACTGATTTTTGGAAGCATTCATGGAAGTTAAAGATTAGATTTTTGCATAAATCAAAAAAAGTTTCGTGAAATCATAGTGCTGAATCAGTTTTTGATTTCTGCAACAAAATGCCAAGAACGGCTTGATA